TTTTATTCTGACCAATTCACTTCAGTTTTAATTTAATTTTTGTCCAGTAGCTGCTGTTCAGAAACTAAATTTTCAGTGAAAGTATATCGGCGCTATCATTCTTCATTTTGTATTGTCAGATGATAGCCTTTGCATGTGGTAAATAAATTACTAATCATATCAATGCATGACAAGAATATTCTTATCATATGAAGAATGTAAGCAAGACTTAAAGATCATTTGATTTTAGATTGAACTTAGGAGTTGTACGCCTCCATCAACGCAATTACGTACTTTGGGAGGTGGGATGTTATAATGCTGCCCACCAGAGCCAATCCAGGATGAGTAGGATACAGTAGTCCTGCAGACAGATGGTGATACTCAGTTAAAAACCTTCCCTTCTCTGAAATCAAACTTACAATTTCTAAATTCTTCTTGCCCTGCGGACGACAAAGAATCTTAATCATATCACATTACAGTACAAATGAATCTGAAGGGTCTGTGACCCACACTGTCGTGTCATCTTTTGCCTCTCTAATGCTTTTCTAGGTGTTACATTTTTGATAATGTCTTTTTAGGCACATTTTTTATTTTCGTCTTGACATCTGGGTCCCTGTTCCAGACATCATTGTGTCTCTGTGAACTGCACACCTTTTTTGTGGGTGGTTGGCGGGTGCTCTGGTGTGGTTTGCTTCTTCTTTCCTATCAAACATCTATCATCCTTATCTCCCCTTCTTCTTTTTTATGTTTGTTACTCTCTTGTAACAGCATGGTCTTCTGGCTCTCATATGACTGTATGCCGTTGTGAGCGCCGTAAAACCTCTACTAAAAACACCTTTTTTTCCTCGCTTCATTCTCTTGTGTTCCTTTATATACCCGGTGCACACTGCCATTCAGATTCCTCAGATGGAGTCAGGGCCAGCCAGATTTCCCTTCATGGGTGTGGTATTAGGTTCCATTTTGGTTTAATATCATGACCTAATTCAACTAAAGCCACTGTACCTCATGATGCTCTCTGCAGGTTTAATATACCGTGCATTAGTCACGGAATTTCTTTAAACCAACACTGGCTGAAAAGAGCCGAATGGCTTGATGTCTTGAAGAAACATCACCATTTACAGCATTAATGTTGTTTGCATTTTGTTGATTTGTGCTCGGAATATGTTTTTGATAATGTTGTGATATATCATTCTGTCGTATTAGCTTTTCCCTTTGTAGTTAATTTTCATTTAAAAGACTGAGCACTGTAAACACTGATGTTTCTTTATTTTTTAAACTTTTGTTGCCAATTTCTGTAAGCAATTTCATATTTTGCATCATATAGTGTTTTGTTTGTCTTGTATTGGTCATTTGCTTTGTGTTTTTGTCGGTGTATAATTATACTGTGGGGGTTATTTTAATGAGTACTACGTTTAGAACATTACTTCTTTTTTCTGAATTGAGTCTTATTCAAAGTAGAGAGTCAGATATGCAAAAAAAAAAAAAAAAAAAATAAAGCAAGGATAGCAGGTCTCTCTGTATTTATAATATATAAGGAACAAACCTCACCCCTCTGCCTTTCACTCTTGAAGACAGCGCAAGATGTCGTGTATGAAGTCAGAAAACCCTGATCATTAATGAAATCCACTGTCTTGAATCAGCCAAGCTCCACACAGTACATTTTGATAAGGGGTCGTGTCAGTCATGGCCATCATCAATTGCAAAAACTATTGATCAAAATGTGACAAGTGTATGCTCACCGACTCATGGATCAATAGCTGGTGTGACCTCAAGCCTGTTTATTGTTCATCATCTAGGCGTTCATACGTCAATATATTTGCAATAAAGTCCTCATGCAGCCATTTCTATGTGGCTGAATTTGGCTGCTGTGTTCATTTTTTTCTTATCTCCCTTCACTCCTCTTGTTCCTCCACCTCCTCTCCTCTAGTTTTCAAGACTATTTGATGGTGAATTATGTGTGTTTTTTATGTAGCCTATTTTTATTACTTGAAAACCCTGTCCATCAGAAAGGCTGCAGTTAAAGTAGCTGCTCGCTTTTAATGTTATAATAGATTATAATAAGTTAAAAATAATAGTACTAATAATATAGTCTTGCACGGTCATTATCATTATGACATCATCAGCTGGGCATGGAAATCTTTTTGTTATATGTGTACAAATTTCACTTAATATAATATGTGATTTAAAAATACAAAAACTATGCACATATGAGGAAAAACTCGGGACCTGAAAATATATTGGCTATATGCATGTTCACTATGTCCGTGCAAGACTGTAGTAATTTTGACTGTCAATGCCTGACGATGACCAACATGTCTGCAGAGGAAAATATTCCATTTAACTTGAAGAAAAATAATGATTAAGATGGTGTGTTTTTTAGTTTTAGTAGAGGTTTTACGTCGGTCGCAACTGCATAAGGCCGTATGAGCGCCAGGAGATTAGAGCTATTACAAGAGAGTAACAAACATAAAAAAGAAGAAAGGGAGATAAGGGCAATAGATGTTTAAAAGGAAAGGAGAAGCAGACCACACCAGAGCACCCGCCAACCACCCACAGATGATTTGTGGCTTCTACTGTGGCCAATGAAGCCAACTCTGGTAGTTATAATATGACATAATGTAACAGGTTATAAACTGTACCCAACTCTGTTGTTAATTCCCCACCTCCCCCCTCAGTCACTACGGCTTCACATGTTTACATTGGGCCCAGATGGTCACAGCTTGTAGTTTATCCTGCGAATGAGGGATACACTGACTTACTGAAAACGGGATGAATTCTATGCCGTTTTAGTAGATTTTGGTGTTGAAAGGGAGAAAAAAAATCATTCTGAAAACATGGATGAAGGAATTGTGGACAAGCCACAGAACGTTGTTGAGTTATGCGATCTCGTGTCTGTGGCAAGCGAGACTGTGATCTTCTGCCTTGTTGTGTGCCTTGTGTCACTAAGAATTGTTGTGACAGGGGCACTTGGGCTTCTGGTGTCAGCTTTATCAGTTCTTATCACCGGTCCGTTGTCGTATGGATATCACCAACTCCTATTTTGGATCACTTCAGCATTAGCGGCTAGTGGGAAATGGGCATGGGAATTCCTCCCGTCTCCCGGTGTAGCTTCAGCTTATGTAAAGAGCCTGGTTTCTCGATGCTGGGCTTTCGTTGTTCTTTCTCTGCGCACTCGGCAGGACTTTCGGACAATATTCGGTAGATTTCAATCTGCGTGTACTTTAAGGTTAGCTTTGTCGCCCAGGCTGAGGTTCCACCTCGGAGGTGCGGCGGTGCGCAGGGCACCCTTGTGTGCCCGCTGGCTGTGTCATGTACTAGCTGACCTGGGCAGGTTACTGACCACCGTGGCAATGTCCAGACGTTTACCGGCACCGCTCTCACACTTTGGTTAGTGCTATGACTTGCCACAAATGAACTCTGTGTGTTGTAGGGTGCTGTACTCAAGACAAGTCAACGAATTCCTTACATGTAGCACCTTACTGTTTTATTGTGAGATGTAATCTTTTTTTTTTTAGAAACTCCCCCTCCCCCCAACCCCCCCTACAAAAACAACAGCCCAAAACAAAACAGCTACCCAAAACCAAACAAAACAGAGACCTACATGTGGTCTGTAACTTGTAATAAAATTCTCTGGGCTCGGAACAAATTAATATTTACATATATCTGTGATACATACTTTGGTGTATTGTCCCTTTCTCCCTTCTTTCTTTTTCACTCTGCTTTTTTTTCTTCTGAATCTGTTGGGATACTTTTAACAGAGACAACCCCCCCCAGTTTTTGTTGTGCTGGTTCCTATCAGGAATTATGAGAAGCAAGAAAATTGTAAGCCTTGACCCTTACATTAAACTGTATTTTTGTGATGTTGAAAGATTGCTTGCGGCAGTGATGTTATGTACTCTACTACAAACTTTTCCTGGCCCAGATTGGCCTAATCAATGTAAAAATTGTAATGACCTAATTAACCACAAGCACCATCATCTAAAGTCATATATTGTAGATAATTAGAGCTGAAACATTAATAATAACTAAAAAATTGCTTTTGTACAGCGCATATCCCCGCTCGACAGCAAGCTCTATGCGCTTTACACAATGTTATTACCCCAGCGGAGAACTACAATGGCTAAGGCTAGTTTCAATAAAATGAACCCAATCTTGAAAAATAGAAACATCTCCATGAACACCAAAATGAAAGTCCTGAAATGCTATGTTTGGTCAACCCTTCTATATGGCTGTGAATGCTGGACAATCACTAAAGACAGTGAAAATAAAATAGAAGCAACAGAAATGTGGTTTCTTAGGAGACTGCTAAGAGTATCGTGGAAGGAAAAGAAATCAAATGAAGTAGTTCTTGATGAAGCCCACGTGGGATGCTCAATGTTAAAAACAATCAGGAAACGACAAATGCAGTTTTTGGGACACCTGAATAGACATAAGGGTTTTGAACATCTAGCTCTCACTGGCAAAATTGAGGGCAAGCGAGGCAGGGGTAGGCCCAGAACAACATACTTAGGGAACCTAAACAAATGGGTAACAGGGAAAGATCAGGGAAACGTAGCTTTTTTTAGAGCATCCGAGCAAAGGAATGAATGGAAAACCATGATCGCCGATGTCTGTCGCAGATCTGGCACTGGATGATGATGATGATTACCCCAGCAGACCATAGAACACTCAGATACATTCTCAGCTTCCCGGGAAGCACACAGTGCAAGCAGCTGATTAAGCGCTAAAACTTTACAGAGTCTTAATTATAATGATAATTAATTACTTTTGTAATAGTGCATTTCCAGCAGGAAAGTGCTCAATGTGCTCTCTCTCTCATTTTCTTTTCTTTCTCTTCCTTCTCCATTTCTAAATTATATTATAATTTATGGAGTATTTCTAACTGTCTCCTAGGATAGGGTATCCCACTCAGGCTGGTTTGGCCTCTTACGAGCACAATGGAAGCAGCCTGTCTCCAAAATGATGTAAATTATGTCAGTGTTGGTATAGTATAGAATGATCATAACAATTGTTACCTCCAGGTGGCGTGTGGTGCGCCGAGGCATGTGACGAGGTTGACGGGAGCCGAGCCGGCCTGATGCGTTCCCTTCGATGCTCCGTGCGTGTGGCCTTCCTCTCTGTGCTGCTCCTGGTGGTGTTTGTGCTGCTGACTTCCTACCTGTACCTGGGTAGTTCTTCCATTGCGACTCTCGTGACCCCCGCCTTCCCGACAGTTCATTACGAGGGACAGCAACAGGTCGTGCGGGAGGGCGGAGAGCTGCTGTCAAGGTCAGATCTCAGGTAAGAGAGCAAGGAGTCAATGTTTTGCGGTTCTGTAGAACCTAGTAAACTTTCCCCATTTCCCCATTCACTTCCTAAACAGACTGTACATAAGATAAGATAAGATAAGATAATACTTTATTATATAATTGAATTAACCAGTTACCTTTATGCCTTTAGGTTTCTAATTGTCTTGGTTAGCTCATTTAAATAGGACAAGAAATTTTCAGGCCATGTGAAATGACCCCCCCCCCCCCCCCCCCCCCCAAGAAGATTATATTTAAAAAGTGAATAGTTTTAAGTCCCAGTGTCATACTCCTACTTGCAAGCACATAAAGATTTTGCTATTGCACATGAGATTTTGTTAGTGCAGTTGGAACTGTTCAAGGCGACCATCCTTTGTCGAGGAGAAAAGTGGTTAAGTTAGCTTAGACAGGAGGATGTTTCAATTCCTGTGTTCCCGTGTGGGGGAGATTTGTAAAAGTCTGGTGTCTCTGTCTGTCTGTTGGGATGCTGTAAAAATCTGGTGTCTCTGTCTGTCTGTTGGGATGCTGTAAAAATCTGGTGTCTCTGTCTGTCTGTTGGGGTGGTGTATCCCTGTCAGCACAGGCTGGCCCACACAAGCAGAGTAGAAGCAGCCCGCCTCCTAAAGTATCAACATTTTGTCGACAGGAGCATAAAATATTAATAATTACAATAAATATGTTTCGTTATTTCCATTGCTCCCTCAATGAATATGTTTCGTTATTTCCATTGCTCCCAGTAATTTTTTTTTCTTCCAGAAATAATGTGGAAAATACCTTGGAGGAAGACAGGCTGCCAGCAGGATTTGAGGCAGACGTGAGAAGTAAGAGCTACAAAGTCTATGTGGAACCAGTAACTGATAAAAAGTCATCACAACAAAAAGGAGAAAAGAGGAAACTAAAAAATGCTGGAATAAATAGCTGGGAGAGTACGTTTAGTAATGTGAGCACAAAGGGAGATAAAACTGCTGGCCGCAGTTCTGGTGGCAAGGGCAGCAACTTTAAAGCTCAGATTTCCCAAGTCGCTGGACTTCTGTCTCAAGATGGCACCCGCAAAAGCTTGCTGGAGCGCAAGGTTGACCCTAAGGTTAGTAACAGAAATTTTTATTATTTTTCATGTAATTTGTATCATAAATTGTCTCGGTGTGGGGG